AAAAAAAAAAAAAAAAAAAAAAAAAAACAAAAAAAAACAAAACAAAGGAGGCATCACACTACCGGGCTTCAAACTATACTACAAGGCTACAGTAATCAAAACAGCATGATACTTACTGGTATCAAAACAGAGATATAGACCAATGGAACAGAACAGAGGCCTCGGAGGCAACATCATACATCTACAACCATCCGATCTTTGACAAACCTGACAAAAACAAGCAACGGGGAAAGGAGTCCCTGTTTAATAAACGGTGTTGGGAAAACTGGCTAGCCATATGCAGAAAGCAGGAACTGGACCGTTTCCTGACATCTTACACTAAAATTAACTCCAGATGGATTACAGACTTAAACATAAGACCTAACATCATCAAAACCCTAGAAGAAAACCTAGGCAAAACCATTCAGGACATAGGCGTAGGCAAGGACTTCATGACCAAACCACCAAAAGCACTGGCAACAAGCAACAAAAGCCAAAATAGACAAATGGGACCTAGTCAAACTCCAGAGCTTCTGTACAGCAAAAGAAACAGTCATTAGAGTGAATTGGCAACCAACAGAATGGGAAAAAAATTTTGCAATCTATCCATCTGACAAAGCGCTGATATCCAGAATCTACAAAGAGCTAAAACAGATTTACAAGAAAAAAACAAACAGGTCCACTCAAAAGTGGGCAAAGGACACGAACAGACACTTTACAAAAGAAGACATACAGCTAGTGCTCGATTTACGACCACGGTCGGGACCGCGGACCGGTCGTAACACGATTTGGTCATAAGTTGAGTAGGCTATATGTACAGTTGAAATGGTGCACGCGGAGATGGTAGTGCTGCCGGAAGCTGGTCCGTACTGTCGTACGCCCAGCTGGGCAACGTTTGCGCTGCCAGATGCGGAGCAGTCATGTCTAGGGATTGTGGTTGTAAAGTCGAATGGTCATAAGTTGCATAGGTGGTAAGTCGATCAATACCTGTACATGAGGCCAACAAACATATGAAAAAATGCTCATCATCACTGGTCATCAGAGGAATGCAAATCAAAACTACATTGAGATACCATCTCACGCCAGTTAGAATGGCGATCATTAAAATATCTGGAGACAACAGATGCTGGAGAGGATGTGGAGAAATAGGAACGCTTTTACATTGTTGGTGGGAGTGTAAATTAGTTCAACCATTGTGGAAGACAGTGTGGTGATTCCTCAAGGACCGAGAAATAGAAATTCCATTTGACCCAGCAATCCCATTATTGGGTATATATCCAAAGGATTATAAATTGTTCTACTATAAGGACACATGCTCACGAATGTTCATTGCAGCACTGTTTACAATAGCAAAGACCTGGAACCAACCCAAATGCCCATCGATGATAGACTGGACAGGGAAAATGTGGCACATATACACCATGGAATATTATGCAGCCATAAAAAACGATGAGTTCGTGTCCTTTGTAGGGAGATGAATGAACCTGGAAACCATCATTCTCAGCAAACTGACACAAGAACAGAAAATCAAGCACCGCATGTTCTCACTCATAGGCGGGTGTTGAACAATGGACACAGGGAGGGGAGCATCAGACACTGGAGTCTATAGGGGGGAAACAGGCGAGGGGCAGCGGGGGGTAGGGAGTTGGAGAGAGACAACATGGGGAGAAACACCAGATGTAGGTGATAGGAGAAAGGCAGCACATCACACGGCATGTGTGTACCTATGTAACAATCTTGCATGTTCTTCACATGTACCCCAAAACCTAAAATGCAATTTAAAAAAAAAAAATTAAAAAAAAAAAATCAGCAACAGAAAGTAATTTAGTAAATTCCAAATATTTGAAAATAAAACAGCATACTTATAAATAACAAAGGTCGGCCTGGGGCATGGCTCACGCCTGTAATCCCAGCACTTTGGGAGGCCAAAGTGGGCAGATCATGATGTCAAGAGATGGAGACCATCCTGGCTAACATGGTGAAACCTCGTCCCTACTAAAAATACAAAAATTAGCCGGGGCATGGTGGCATGCGCCTGTGGTCCCAGCTACTTGGGAGGCTGAGGCAGAAGAAACGCTTGAACCCAGGAGGCAGAGGTTGCAGACCCTGAGCCGAGATTGCGCCACTGCACTCCAGCCTGGCAACAGAGCAAGACTCCGTCAATCAATCTATCAATCAATCAATCAATCAATAATAAAGGTCAAATAATGTATCACAAGGGAAATTAGAAAATACTGTGAGCTGAAAACAAAAACAAAAACATAACATATCAATACTTATATGATGACGCTAAAACAGTGCTTAGAGAAAAATTCATAATTTCAAATACTTATATTAGGAAAGAAAAGAGGTCTAAAATCAATAATCTAAGCTTGAAAAATTAGACAAGAGCAAATTAAACCCAAAGGAGACTGGGCACAGTGCCTCATGCCTATAATCCTAGTACTCTGGGAGGTCAAGGCGGGTGGATCACCTGAACTCAGGAGTTCAAGACCAGCCTGGCCAACATGGTAAAACCCTGTCTCTGTTAAAAAATACAAAAATTAGCCAAGCATGGTGGCAGACACCTGTAATCCCAGCAACTTGGGAGGCTGAGGCAGACAGAATTGCTTGAACCCAAAAGGCGGATCTTGCCACTGAACCCCAGCCTGGGGAACAGAGCGAGATTCCATCTCAAAAAATACAAACAAAGTAGCAAGAAGGAAGGAAATTATGAAGATTAAAGTAGAAATCAGTTAAATAGAAAACAGAAAAGTACAGAGGCTAAAAGTGTTTTGTTTTGTTTTTTTTCTTTGAGAGAGTCTTGTTCTGTCGTCCAGACTAGAAGGCTAGAGTGCAGTGGCGTGATCTCGGCTCACTGCAACCTCCACCTCCTGGTTCAAGGCATTCTACTGCCTCAGCCTCCGAAATAGCTGGGATTACAGGCATCTGCCACAACGCCTGGCTAATTTTTTATATTTTTAGTAGAGACAGGGTTTCACCATGTTGGCTAGGCTTGTCTCCAACTCCTGACCTCAGGTGATTCACTGCCTCGGCCTCCCAAAGTACTGGGATTATAGGTGTGAGCCACCATTGGGGGCCTTTTTTTTTTTTTTTTTTAAAAAAAAAAAAAAAAAAAAATGATAAATTTTTAAATAAGATTGACCTAGAAAAAAAGAAAACGTAACTTACAAAAAAAAAATAATAATAATAAGAGAACATGACCACAAACACTAGAGACATTAAAAGGAATATAAGCGAATATTATGAACAACCTAATGCCAACAAAATAGATAAAACAGATGAATTCCTAGAAAATACAACTTACCAAAAAAAAAACAAAAAACAAAAAACAAAAAAAAAAAACAAAAAACTCTAAAAACTCAAGAAGGAGAGCCTGAATAGACTTATAAAATAAACTGAACTGGAAATTTTAAAACCGGTCATGTGCGGTGAAATTAGCCAGGTGTAGTGGCACATGCCTGTAGTCCTCGATACTCCAGAGAGTGAGGCAGGAAAATCGGCTTGAACCCGGAAGGCAGAGGTTGTGGTGAGCAGGGATTGCGCCACTGCACTTCAGCCTGGGCAACAGAGTGAGACTCCATCTCAAAAAATAAATAAAAATAAAAATAAATTTAAAAACCTTCCCACAAAGAAAAGTTCAAGTCCAGATGCTTTCATTTATTAATTCTATCAAATATTAAGGAAATAATGCCAATCTCATACAAAGTCTTTCAGAAAAAACAGACAACAGTAAAAGACCAAATAGTTTCTCCTAAGACTGGGAACAAGGTAAGGATGCACACACTCATACTTTTATTAAATGCTGTACTAGAGTATCTACATAGCCAGTACAATAAAGCAAGAAAAAGAAACTAAAGACATCCTGATTGAAAAGAAAGAAGTGAAACCAATATTTAATCACAGACATGTTGATATTATATACAGAAAATCCTTTGTAGAACTCTTAAAAAGAAATAATATCACAAATGTGTTCTGCAAGGTCACAAGACACAAGATCAATAAGCAAAAACTCGACTGTATTTCTAACCATTACCAATAAACAACCTGAATATGAAATAGATAAAGCAATTTCATTCACAACAGCATCAAAAAGAATAAAATAGGAATAAACTGAACAAATGAAATGCAAGATGTGCACTGCAAACTATAAAATATTGCTGAGAGAAAATGAAAGACAAATGAAGAGATATATCATGTTTATAGATCTAAACACAATACTTTCAAGACGTTAACTCCACCAAATTGACCTATACAATCAATACATCCCTAGAAAACTTCAGCAGGCATTTTTAACAGAAACTGACAAGTTGATCCTAAAATTTATATAAAAAATGCAAAGGGCAAAGAATGGATATGGATAAAACAATTTTGAAAAAAAGATTTTTAATTTTGAAAATCTCTGGTCTTGCCTGCTCTTCAAATTCATCTTGTACACTTGCAGCTAGTGTTTTCTCAAATACAAAACTGACTTTATTAGTATTCTTTTGCTAAAAATTCTGTGCCAGTTTCCCTCTCCCCTTAGGATGGAGTTTTTTCCAAAACTGATCCCTACAGCCCCTGAGACCTAACCAATGATTTAACTGTTATAGTACTTCTTTAGCTTCGTTTCTCACCTTCCTCCACCACACAAATTTAAATAGCAACCATATGGAATTAATTTCTATGCCTGGAAAGCCCAACACTTTTGCTAGGTCATTTGTGCATGTTGTTCCCCTTGCAACAAGTCTGATTCCACTTTTTGCTTACTCCACCCTCCCTTGTTCATCTTCTCCCAGCTCTTCTCTATTTTCTACTGGGTATCAGCTTAAATGTCAATTCTTCTGGAAAACTTTCCTGCAACATCTCTAGTAAGATTGTATTAGGTGTCCCCACTGTGTACAACATTGATGCAAAATGTTTTAAGAAAGTATCTTTGTAGACATTTAGATACATCCTATCAAAAAGGAAATTCTGCCCCTTACTCCCATTATTATTATTTTTGAGATGGAGTCTCACTCTGTTGTTCAGGCTGGAGTGAGGTCATGTTATCTTGGCTCACTGCAACCTTTGCCTCCTGGGTTCAAGCGATTCTACTGTCTCAGCCTCCCAAGTAGCTGGGATTATAGGCTCATGCCACCATGCCTGGCTAAGTGAGGGGCTTTTAGTAGAGACAGGGTTTCACCATATTTGGCCAGGCTGTCCTCGAACTCCTGACTTCGTGATCTGCCCACCTCAGCCTCCTGAAGTGCTGGCATTACAGGTGTGAGCCACTGTGCCCAGCCCCCTTGTCCCTATTCTAATAAGAGACTTACTTTATATTTCATTCGTTTTTGTCCTGTTTGAATTTTTTGAGTTGGTATTTACAATTTGAAACGAGACATTTAAAAAAATGTGTTGGAGGCAATAAAAATGCTACAACATGAACTTCAAACATTATGCTAGGCAAAAGAAGCCAGTCACAAAACACCACAGATTGTATGATACCATTTATAAGGAATGTCTAGAATAGGCAAATCTGAGACAAGTTGATCAGTGGTTGCCTGGGGATGGATGAGGGGGTGGAGACAAGGAATGGGAAATGACTACTAATGAGTACACGGTTTCTTTTGGGTATGCTGGAAATATTCTAGAACTAAATTATGGTGATGGCTGTACAATTCTGTGAATATATTAAATACCACCAAACACTGAAAACCACAGTACACTTTCTTATCTGTTTATTAATTTTTTTGGAGACAGTCTCACTTCATCTCCCAGGCTGCAGTGTAGTGGCATGATCTCAGCTCACTGCAACCTCCGTCTCCCAGGTTCAAGTAAGTCTCATGCCTCAGGCTCCTGAGTAGCTGGAATTACAGGCATGCACGCCAGCCTACTGGCTAATTTTTGTATTTTTAGTAGAGACTGGGTTTTGGCACATTGGCCAACCTGGTCTTGAACTCCTGACACCAAGTAATCCACCCACCTCAGCCTCCCAAAGTGCTGGAATTAAAAGCATGAGACACTGCACCCAGCCCATAGTACACTTTAAACTGGTGCATTTTACGATATACAAATCACATCTCAATAAAACTGTTAAAATCTGATAGAAATAAATTGGCCTTTTGAGATCCCATTTTTTTCCTTAGAACAATCATTACAAACGAACTAAACACCATTAAATACAATTTAAGTACATTGTTAAATACTGAGAGTTATTAGAAATGTAATTTGGCCCATATGTCACACATACCTGTATTACACGGTGATTAAAGACAACTAAGAATATAACTATTTTTAAGTGTAATAACTTCTAGCAATATAGAAGTGTACAAGTATAAAAAATAATAATCTCCCTTTTTTTCACCAAAATTACACCCCAAAATTATTTACAATTTGGCATGTCTCTCTAGACTTTCCTTCACGTTATTAATGTATGTCTACACACAGCAGACATATATTAATAATTAAATAATGGTGAGAGGAAAGGAGACAGGAGTTACTTTGCTGAATATGTGGTGACTATAGTAATCACTTTTCATGTTGTAGCCAGCTGAACGTAGGCTACTGAAGGCAAGGACAAAAATGATTTAAATTTAAGATAAAAATAAATGTTATACTAAAAGTATTACTGAAATAAATTTCTTTAGATGCAAATTTTTTATAGGCTGAGGAAAATAATCAGACTTCTACTACCTGAAAATCATCCCCCTCTACCTATTCACTGAGAAAGGTACATTCATTCAATGCAGAACAGACAGTCTTCACAACATCCAAAGCACAATTCCCAACACAGACACTATACATGTTCAAATATTTGGATCTGAATTAACAGTGAATAAAAAAACCATGTCTATGTTTTTTTGTTAGTTTGTTTTTTTTTTTTTGAGACGGAGTTTCACTCTTGTTACCCAGGCTGGAGTGCAATGGCGCGATCTCGGCTCACTGCAACCTCCGCCTCCTGGGCTCAGGCAATTCTCCTGCCTCAACCTTCTGAGTAGCTGGGATTACAGGCACGCGCCACCATGCCCAGCTAATTTTTTGTATTTTTAGTAGAGACGGGGTTTCACCATGTTGACCAGGATGGTCTCGATCTCTTGGCCTCGTGATCCACCCGCCTCGGCCTCCCAAAGTGCTGGGATTACAGGCTTGAGCCTCCGTGCCCGGCTACCATGTCTATGTTTTAAAAAGCAATATGAAAAGAGATAAAGGGAGCATACCAAAGTAAATTAGATCAAAGAGGCCACTTTGAGACTAATTTTGTTTCCATTTTTATAATTCTATCATTAAAAAACCTTCATTAATAAAAGTTTATCTTCTCTTTGGGCTGGGCAAAGTGGCTCATGCCTGTAATCCCAGCTCTTTGGGAGGCCAAGACAGGTGGATTACCTGAGGTTAGGAGTTCAAGACCAGCCTTGACATGGTGAAACCCCATCTCTATTAAAAATACAAAAATTCTCTGGGCGTGGTGGCAGGTGCCTGTAATCCCAGCTACTTGGGAGGCTGAGTCAGGAGAATGGCTTGAACTTGGGAGGTGGAGGTACTGAGCTGAGATCGCACTATTGTACTGCAGCCTGGATGACAAGAGCAAAACTCTGTTTCAAAAAATAAAAATAAAAAAATACAAGTATCTTTGGTTTTACTCCCAAGCAAATATAATTTAGTAATTCTAACCCATTAGGATACATTGCTTATAATGCTTTAATAAGCTTTCTTAGTCAATATGGTAATAGCAATTACTATAATTTATACTGTATCAAATGCTCATTAAATGCTGGACATTGTTTCAGTATTTTAAATATAGTAGCTCTTTTAATCTTCATTACAAAATTATGAAAGAGGTATTATTATAATCTCCATTTTACAGATGAGGTCACTGAGACAAGTGAGATAAGTAACTTGCCCAAAGCGGCATAGCTATTAAATGGCAAAGCTAAAATTGCTCCAGAAGCAGTACTCTTAAATATTATACTTTACTGCCTAATAGCATTGCTTAAGAGAATATAAAAGATTCCTAAATTAAAGAATTTAATAGGGCCAGGCATGGTGACTCACATCTGTAATCCCAATACTGTGAAAGGCTGACGTAGGATGATCACCAGAGGCCAGGAGTTCAAGACCAACTTGGGCAACATAGTGAGACACTGTCTGTACAAAAGTTTTTTAAAAAACATCAGTCAACCATGGTGGCAAGAGCCTGTAGTCCCAGCTACTTGAGAGGCTGAGGTGGGAAGACTGCTTGAGCTCAAAAGTTCAAGGCTGCAGTGAGCTATGACTATGCCACTGCACTCCAGCCTGGGCAACAGAGAGAAACGCTGTCCCTTGAAACAGAAACAAACAAACAAGAGACTTCAATATAGCAATCATTTTAATAGCCACAATGTTCCCTGCTCTTTTCTCTTAAGCCTTACCAACTATAAAATATAAACTTTCAATCAATCCCACCTACTATTACAACCAAAAATCACAATTAAATTGAAGAAAAACATATTCAATTCAAATATATAATGTCTTTTTGAATTTCCAGATTGATCATAGTGCTATTTTACTATCATATTTGACCCACCAGGTGAGTAAAAGACATAGTACTATATTTATATAAATATATATAATATGTTCTTCTGGTTTTTAGAGAAATATCAAAAATATTATCAATAATACTAATAATTATTAGCAAGGCAAACTCAATATTAAGTTTTAGAATAGAGCTATTTCCAAGCACTGAAGCAATGTTAGTTGCAGGGTAGGATATACATGTATATAAACAGTTACGTATGACAGAACACAAAACAGCATGGTTCAAAAAACAGTGCAAAGCAAGCAGAGTAAACTGAAGAAAAACTTTTA